CTCCTTACAAGGACCTTTAGATCGATCACCAGCTACAACCATCTGCATGGTATCCATGAAAAACTCACGATAAACCATCAATTGGAGAAAACACAAACATGATAAACACCAACTGGACGCAACATCGCACCGACTTCCAGAAATTTCTCCCCCACCTAGGACGCACATTTCATTGAAACGCTTTGACTTCCACAACTAGGAGTAACGTTAAAAATAAAATAATTTTGCGAAATTTCTTTATTTTTCGAAATTAATAATATCAAAAACGAAATAATTGCACAAAATTTGTTTTCAAAAGGAAAAATTAAGTGTAGAGTTGATGGCCTTATACAAATATATTTTGTGATTTTTTCATTCCACCTGTCTAAAGTATTGTGTCTACCACAAAAAAAATGAGGCTAGGTTATACGAAGTATTGTACCTAGTACGCAAAATTATCTTCCCAAAATTGAAGATCTGATGCTCCAAAATGCCACCTCAGGAAATCAGCGCTCGGACACTCTCTAACCTAGCTCTGTTTATCCCCCCGGTCAAAAGCTGAGTGTCGGGCACCAAAGATTGGCTGAGCTAGTGGCTCGTGTTTCCAACTCCTCGGCTGGGATCATGTTGGCCTCACGGGCAAGGCTGGTGGAGCTCGATGTCGGGTGCGGTCATGCCATGTCATGCCCCCATGGCGCGACCCCGATCTATCTGGTTCCTTTGAAATTTCCTCGAGCCTCACACCTTCGACATTCGGCATCGAGTCTTCTCATGTTCCTACGCATAATTCTTGTGCTACAATGCAAAATAAAAAATGTATGTTCCAAATTCAATACAATAAGGCAATATGGTTTCTTCGATATACATGGTTTGCTATTTGGATCTAACAAAAAAACCAACCCCTTGAATCAAATATTGATTTTTTTGATATATAATCAGTATCTTGGAATATCTGGAATCCTGGACATGTATTCATCAAAAAAAGATAACAAAAAAAAGTATACCATATAATAATCAATATGAATATAACAATGTTCTCATATGTTCACTATATCTAGAGTCAATCTATCTTATATATTAGTAAATATATTAATATACAATCATCCAACAATTATGTCTATTTTTTTCGTTTAAATGGCCCAAATCATAAATTTGACTTTGGCCGTCCAATGTCCTCGCAATTTCTCATAGAGATGCTTTGGAGTCGGATATCCCAAGCATTGGTCGGAATAAACGCGTGGATCCAGACCTGCAATAAGTACAGTTTCCCATTCAGCAATAGCTATGGGATGCTATGGGCATTCCGATGCATCGCATTCTGGTACAAGAAAGGAGCCAGAAGACGAAGTTGTGTCTTGAAGCCACGATTCAAGCTCCAATATTGGCAGGTCTGGTTCCAAGCTAGGAAGAATCCGCTAGGGAAATTCATCCTGGCAAATCTGGACATCTTGGCTACTTGCCATTCAGCCACGGACCTAAGTGCAGACGTGGCACTGAATATCTTTCATCAATTTCACTGAATGCGGCAGTCCGTGGTCAAGTCTCAAGTTCCCCGCCCTCACCGAGGTTCGGCCCGAACGCCTCAACAACCGGGCCAGCAGTGCCTGATCTTGCCGGGTTTGTTTGGGGGGGAAATTTGCAGCCCATGGTCTTTATCGTCGACGAATGTCAACGATATACTGTTTCCATGTTTTTCCTGTATTGTGTTTCCTGAACTCCTCCCAATTCTGAGATTCTACCGGCCAGAATGGGTTTACACCCGATCATTGGATAAACAAAAACAATGAAACACATGAAGTGAGTATATGCGTACAAGTTACACATGTCATAAATATATATATGTAGCATATAAATATGTATGTAGATGTCAGTTGTTTTCCTAAATATGGGACATACTACCAACATGTCATGTTTACACGGAAAATGAGCACGAAGAATTGGATTCTAGGGGTACACCTCATGTTCAAACGAACCCAATGGCAGAAACCCTGAAATAGAGACCTGCTTTGGGCGATTTCAAGATCTGGAAGGATCTGGATACGTATTTCATAGCGTTGGTTGTATATCCCATTATATCACCAATATACCCCTTCAAGGGGTAATGATCACCAACCAATCCCATATCTACAAACCCAGATCAACATTCGACACCCTCTGGTCATCTGTCAGAGTTTGAGAACTGGAAGCCATGGCCATCTACATCCATTTAGTTCGATGATTGTGATGATCTACATTGATTTACCTATTCAAAATGGCATTTTTTCTGGTGACTTTCCAGGTCTTCCAGGTCACCCTCGCCTGGCCACATCTGCCCGGGAATGAAGGCAGGAGCCTCAAGCTTTGAGGACTGTTGCGCAACATGGGAATTTGGAGATGGACATGACAACGACACAACAATTATATAATGGAAATATAATATATATATATATATGATGGGAATATAATGGAGAGTTGTGCTATTCATATATAATTTGTCATTTTCGGTTTCACGCAACTCAACTATTGTGATTAATGATTCTCAGCCTTATATTCCAACGTCTGGGCCAAGAAGCTGCAAAATTAATGAGCCGAACAAACTGAGTCTACCCCTGCAATGATTTCTTGCCGGCTCTGGCATGCTACTGTGCGCAATTGTTGCGCTATTGTTGCCTTATGTCTAAATGTGTCTGGCCTCCATGTACTACCAAGCGGTCTCCGGCTGCGTAACCAACATGGTGCGTGTTCTGTGTCGTCTAAAAATCGAGGAACCTCAAAGCAATGAAACAAAGATAAACAAAGATAAACAAAGTCTCCATTTCAAGGTTTCTGCCTTCTCCATCCTTCTCCCATTCGGTCCCCAAGATCCAGTGGTTCATCATTTTCGGCATCCCGTTGGATCCGGTTTTCCATGGTTTTCCCCAAGCCTTCGACACCGTGACAGGATACACCAGGGCTCCCAGGCTGTATGGTGCAATCGCAAGCCGGGCTCTGCCACGACCGCAAGAAGAGCTTCCTGTCGTTCCGCGGAGCCGTGGAGTCAAAGGCGATTTTGTCTAGAAATGAATGGAGAAAGGTTGATTCCGTGAAACACATATTTGATTTGTTCAATGGATTTACGAAGTAAATGAAGTGAAATGAATACTATACAGAATGATCCTATCAGCTGCAGGTCCCAGGGCGGCATTTGCACCTCTTTTTCGCCAATTGCGTGAAAAAAAAACTTTTAATCCAAACAATTCAGCAAATCGAGTTTTCGATGAGCAAGAGAGATCCTGCAGGGGTTCAGGATCGGCAAAGTTTGTTCGAATGTCTAGGAAAGATGCACCACAACACCATTACTCAGAGTTACATCGAGCTTTTATTCAGTCAACTGGACTCTGGTCATTAAAAAAAAAAAACGCGATGTGACATGATCATCTTACCATCAAACAGTGTCAATTCACCGGTGCATCTCTGGGGGCAACTTTCGCCAGCTAAGGCTTTACAAAACTGGTCGGCCGGAACCCCAATCCATGATATATATTCCATGATGCTACTGGATTGAATAGACATCACAACAGATATAACTGCATGTAACAGATATCACATATCACTGAGATATGCTGGCACGGCATTGCACACTTGCAAGAGTCCAGCAAAGCAGGTATGAAACATTGAAGTTTTGTGATTTTTTGTGGAGAACCTCAAGTATGTTTTTTTAAAGTCTGACGGGAGTGAAGTGTATGTTTCAGGAGTCCTGCGGCAAGTCTGGTTGATGGTTTCTCAAGCTTCAGAAAAATGCCATCAGCATCCCACATTGTAGGAAAATTGAATCGACATGTCCACCATCCAGCATGGAAACCACCATCCCTAGATGCCCTCCGCTTCGCGGAGATTCAAACAGCCAACGCCCACTGTCGCCAATCTCCGATTCAAATCTCCTGTGGAGCAAGTTGGACCTGGCTGAGGAAAGAGACAGAAGGAACTGGCCGAACTGGCTGGTGGTTTCAAATATATGGGTGTATGAAAGTGGGATCTACCCGGAATCTACCCCATTCAATGGCCATTAAATATAGGACAGTATTATCAACGAGTGGATGGCATGGGGTGCCCTATTTTCAAACAAACCCATATCCCAAGAAATACTGTACCATCTGGAAATCTTGGCAATGCAGCATCACCACTTTTGGAACGTAACTCGACTGCAAATAAGTGATTCTCCCTCGCCGTGTTTCCTTTACTGGAGGATGTATATACTCATCAGGGTTGATCACCCAAAATCAGGTAAAGCATAGCTGAAATCGGTTAATAATTGCCGTTTTATAATGTTTATACATGTCTGTATACCTTGCAACATGTTGGGTCAACCGTAGGGTGTTTGCCCCAACACGAGCAAATGAACACACTGAAAACATTGCAAATACCAGCAAAAAGTGGTTGTACAAACGGCTGCAGATACAAAGACACAAACTTCCATTCTCGGGGATCTGTGAATCTTTGAACAACGACTGTGAACTGTGGGCAAACCTGCGCGGCACATCCAACATGTTGCAATTCATCCGGGCAACTCACAATAATTACCCAATATCGAAATATCAAGATCCCTTTGGGGTTGCATCACCTGCTCATGGCAAAGCTTAAGTGAAGTCACTCCAACAAATAATTACCCAGGTTGTGCCGGTTGCGCCTGTTGCGACGTTTTTGCTAAGATTGGTGGGGGAAATGTGCCGATCACGCCCATGGATGGTGTCGCCTGAACGCTGGAGGTGAAGGAAAGAGGGTAGCCCCAGAGATCTCAGTCCCAAAACCTGCAGAAGAAAAACCTGAGTTCTTCTATGGTCAAACATGGCCGTATTGTATTTATATATACGTATATGTAACATTGTGAAATGGCAGCCGCCTACACCCAAGTCACAACAGGGGCAAGGCTAGCGTACACCTTTTCTGGTGACGTAGAGCCAAATGCTCAAGGCCTGTTAGACAGGTCAAAAGAAAGGTCTGAAGGACATGATGTGCTTTCACATCGGTCCTTTTCTTTGTGGCCTGAAGACCGCTTTTGGCCTTCATGTGCTATGAAAGAATGTCACCAGCCGCTCGCATCTCTCAGTCAGAAGTCCATGGTGACTTTGCAGATCTCGTAGATCAGCTCGTTCTTCCACCACACGCCAAGTAGGCCCGTTTGGGGTCTTCCAGCATGCCACTGTTGTGCGAAGTGGGTATTCTCGCACTGCAAACCTGGGTTGCGGGCTTCGAAGCGATTTTGCTCCATGAGCCACATGAATCCCAGTCCCGTCGATGTAGTGCCATCCAACCATCTCGGCCAGCTGGTACACATACTGCATCAGCTTCTCATCCTTCACCTCGGGGTCTCGTCCAGGTAGATCAGCAGCAGTTGTGTCAGCTTTCTTTGCTTTCCGGCTGGTCTGCTTTGTGAATTCCTCAGTGTATGTTACGGACCATGTGCCACGCCCCAACGTCTTTCGAAGGTTGGTCTTGTCCATGTGCTTGGTTCCACCATCGACCCACATATTCTGTGTCGATGTCCAGCGGTAAGACGTCTGGGGGCGTCTCAATTGCTGTCTGATGGCGGCAATGGTGAACGCAAGGGACTTTTGCGTTCCGAAGCCCAAGTCTTGACTGACTCGATCATAGCAGTCCTTGGCATCGGTAACTCCCATCAAAGGCACCAAACAAACCTTGAAAAACGCCTGCTTGTCGGTCATCACCTGGCCTCTCAGCTCAGCAATGAATCCTCTGCAAAGCTCACCAGCGTCCAAGCCTTCCTCGGCTCCCAAGGTTTCAGCTGCATAGGAGGATCTGCATACCCTCTGCAACCTGTGGCTTCTGAAATCCAAAAGATTGAAAAAGCCGGTACCACCGCTCATCATCACTTCATCCGCAAGGACAATGGCGTAGCAGCTCTGACTGTGAACCTTCTCCAGCTTGTCCACCTCAGTAGATCCTCTGGAATCTACATTTCCCAAGGCTGCGTCCGTGATAGACATCACACCACCTTTCACGAAGTCGATTGGATGAAAGCGGAGCTTGAACTCCTGTGTCACCTGAGCCTCCTTGATCACCTTGTTGGCACGGAGCAATGTGCCTACCGTAGCTGGTACTTCTCCTTGGAGTGCAGACACATCAAATGCCAAGTCAAAACGGCATTGGCCTGCCAACCACTGCAGTGATCCCAATGCACCGCGAAGCTGTCTGTGCTCCTGCGCATTCAAAGGGCTTGAGGGATCTTGTCGGCGATCTCTGCTCACAGCAACTTGTTTCAAGTTCTTGTGGTAGGTGATCATATCTATGGTCACCTCCCCAGTCTCCTTGCTCTTGGTGAACTGCTTGCCACACCAAACGAACTGGTCCTTCTCGATTGAGCCAAAACCAATGCGCTCACCCAAGCGGAGCAGTGATCGTTCTGATTCCAAGTTTCCTGACATCAGCAAATCATCCACGTGAGCAGCAAGGATTCCAACCAATTCACCATCTTGATGTCGAACCCATAGAGCAAGGTCCAAGGAGCTTCTGCACCATCCATCCTCGCTGAGCTCTCTGGCCAAGCGCAGATACCAAGCTCTCGGATCATCGGCCAAGCCAAAGATACCCTTCAACACCTTGGCCACACATCCAGGGCCAATGGGAATTGTAGGACCACGGCGTGGATCTGCCGGTCCCATGTAGATCTCCCGCTCCACGTAGGGATCTCCTTTCAGGAAAGCAGCACGAACGTCAGCGCTCTGCAAACACCAGTTTGGGTGCTGTGCAGCCATGCATGCCACCAAGTGTTGACTGATCCTTGAGGCAGTCGGAGCATCTTTTCGAAGGCCACCCTGCAGATTCTCAATGTCTTTGAACCCAGGGACAATGAGTCTAGAGTTGGCTCGAAGAGGCAGCGGCTTATCCTTCGTTCTGAGCGGAGCGTTCTTGTCCACCATGACGAAGCGAGGTGTCAGCACGCGTTGCTCTTCTCCCTTCATCTTGAGCTCTTGCATCACAGCTTTTGACTCCTCCAGGGTCAGCACTTTCACAGCTCTGTTCTCCACGAACTTGTTCCACTGATCCACAGCGGAAGCTCTGAATTTGTCACGGGTGCCCTCATCCATCTCGCTCCAGCGAAGTTCTTTTTCTTGAGCGGCAGTGGTCAGGGCCTCGTGTTCTCCATTTCCACTGGGCCAGCATGAACCAGTAGCTTCCATAGCTTCAAATTCCCATCTGCTCGGTCTAGTCCATCTTCCATCCCAGCTGCCATGGTCGGGCTCGATGAGATTTCCATCAGCGATATCTTGCTGCGACCAATCCACGGCTTTAACCAGGGGATGAACTCGGCAGAGTTCTGAAGCCAGCACATCAATTGTGCGGTCACCCAAGATCAGAGGTTCCAAGATCCTCCTTCTTGTTCCAGGGCGATCATCTTGAGCTCCTTCAGAAAGAGCACGACGAACTGCAGCTCCAGCTCGATCCAATCTCCTTGGAGGAGGCTCTTCCAGTGAAGGTACTCCAGGTACTTGTTGCGGAAGTTGAGAGGTCTGTTCTGGTTGTAGCTCTTGAGAACCTGAAGGCTGTCCATGCTCAGCTGCTGCATCGCCCGAAAGTCCAAGGGCTTGTCCCGAAAGTCCAGTGGGACTCACATTTCTCGCAGGTCCAGCAGCTTCATCCTTTCTCGCAGCATCATGTTGAGCTCGTGAGAAAGTTGAGCAAGGGGCACCATGCATTGTCATAGGTGTGGAAGCCATTGATGTTCTCCGAGAGTCCAAGTTGGTCATAACGGTAGATCCAGGGGCACCATCCAGAGCCAAAGGAGTAGGCATCATCTCCCTTGAGAACGGATATGGAAACACCACGGGATTCTCCATGATGACTCCACGTGCAGGTAGTGCTCGTTGTTGAGCTGGTTGTTGACCTTGATCAGAACGGGGTTGTCCATCATCTCCACGTTCCACCTCATCCAACTCAGGCACTGCCTCCAAAGGTGCTCCATCTTGGAGAGCTGGTGGTTGAGCCACATCTTCATTGGCCTCAATCACCTCGTTCAGAACTTCTTCCCAATCTCCAGCAGTCAGGCGTTCCAGGGCACTGGCATGTCGTATGTGCTCCATTGCAACCTTCGTGATGTTGCCTCGAAAAGCAACATAACCAGCAGAGGGGATGTTGCCACCTTCCAAAGCCAGGAGAATCCCAGGTCCATGCCATCGACGTAGGGCAAGTCGTCGACGCTGGATCAGTTTCATCTTCTTTGGGATCGCCTTCTGTTCCCTGAAAAAGTATACAACGTCGCCAATGCTGTAGTGTTCCCATCCAATCGTTGGTCTTGGTCTTGAAACTGCGGCACGTCGAAGTGCTCGAGAGTAGTGAACCCTCAGCATAGAGAGTTTTGCAACCTCTCTCATAGCTTGCATTCTTGCAAAACTTGCTTCATCAGCTCGAGTTTGAGTCGGTAGCCGTGAGCGAAGTTCGTTTGCTCCAGCAGCTCCCACAACTCGTGGATTCTTTCCAAGAACCATTTGAGAAGGGCTGTAGCCAACACCTTCGGTGTCAGTGTTGATTGCCTCCAACGTTGCAGTGAGGGCTCCACGAACATCATCCATTCCCAAGGCTGAGGTCTGGTGAATGGTTGCTCGCAAAACAGCTTTGAGCACACCACCGGACCGTTCTGCAAGTCCATTTTGCCATGGGGCTTCAACAGGTATGTGATGAACTGCAACATCATAGAATGCCATTTTGTCCATGAAGAGGGCTGAAGTGAACTCCTTCCCCATGTCGACAGTCATTGAAGCTGGAATCCCCAATGGTTGAAACCAGGATTCCTCCATGAACTTCACCACCTCCGGAGCAGTCTTGTTGTCCAACACCTTGGCAACCTGGTAGCGGGTAGCGCCATCAATGGCATGAGCTATCCAGAAAGTCTCCAGGCGCGCATCAGGCACTGAAAACAAATCGCTGTAGATTCTGTCTCCGAAGTTGCGGGCACGTGGAATGCCAGCAGGTCGATGAGTTTTCACCGTTGGCAGTTCTTGGCAAACTTCACATTTGTGTTGTTTCACAGCCTTGACAAGTCCAGGCTGAGCACCAGTCAGAACCAGAGCTCGTGCAAGACGTAGTACAGGTCGATGTCCTGTCACCTCATGCAAGTGGGCCGCAAGCTTCTTCTCAGCTGTAGTGGGTTGATCACCTCCATCTGCACCAGGATCAGCAGCTTCAGCATCTTCTAAAGCTTCTTCTCCAGGGGCTCGACCTTCCGGGTCAGCATGAAGACCATCTCCAATCTCTCCCATGTCAAGGTTGTCGTCGGGTTGATCTCCATCGTCATCACCATCGTCATCCAGGTCCTCATCATCGTCAGTCTCATGACCATCTTCTCCAGGACCGTCAGGTGACACCACGTTCACCTCATGGTAAAGACGTTCAAATTGAGCCTCTAAGCCATCCAAGATGAGCTCAGAAAGTGCAGAGGGGTAATGGCCTGCCAGCTCAGTCACCTTGTGGCCTCCAATGACCGGCTCATGTTGGTGATCCTTGGAGCATCGGCAGTCCTGCAAGGCATATGCAACCTCATAGCTCGAAGTCAGGATGTTGGTGGGCTTGTAGTGCAAACCACCTCCTGCTCCCTTCAATCCGAAGTAGCATTGATCGATCCGCACGTAGTAGAGACCAATCTCTGCTCGGCGCTCGACCAATTCTCGAAGTTTTCCAACCAGTCGCCAGGCAGAGGAACTGGCTGGGTTTTCCATCAGAAAGTGACATCCATGTAGAAGTTGATCCAAAGCTTTCTCAGCGGCGTACTCCACCAGGATGGCCTCCATCTTGCGTCTCCTCTCAAGCCTTCTGCGCTTGCTAGTGTCTCCTTTTGGTCCAAGGTTTTGGAGAGTCGACCAAACACTGCAGGGAAAGGCAATCACCAGGCAGTAAGGTCGATGCTTTCGGATCAGCAAGTTTGCTCTCTTCCGATGTCGGCGATGCCTCAAATCATAGCCAGTCTTCAGTGTCACTGAAGGGCAAATTGCATGACCTCTTCGAAGAGCAGCTCGAGAGATGGGCTCAGTCTCCGTGTAGAGCTCTCCCACGAAAGGTTCTCGAGGCTTCTCACCTTCTCGGTCCACCAAAGAAAGATGATGGATCTGAAGAAAGACTCTTGCTTCCGTTGCCAAATTGGCATACTTGAGACGATGTAGGGCTCGATCTCGATGAAGTACTCGATTTTCCAAAGTGATCCAGTCATGTCGATGATACCTGACAAATGTGCTGATGGGGACCTCATTGTCCAAGGGCAGGGTTCCCATGCAGTTCATGGTGTCTCTTGCAATGAAAACCTGATCACCATTGGCCAAAGTGTGAGTGCCAATGTCACCACCGTCGCCCAAGACACGAATCTCCTCAGGAAAGGCTCCGATGTCATTCGGATGTGGGAAGGCTGTCATCAAGAAAGGCCAGAAAACTTCAAGCCATGTTTCACCTACCCATTCGTTGTCTCGAGTCTGGTTGTTGCCCTCTCTGAAGTCATCATCCACCATGTCATCTATGTTGCCTTCGTCATCGAAAATGACTGTTCGGCGTTTGCCAGTGAAGGCAGCTCCAGGAAGCCATCTAGGGGCTGTCGCACCATTCCAAGGGGCAAAAAAGGTTCGCCGTGGAGTGTAGTGGTCACGGCACATCCAGCCAGCGAGATGCCCAAAACGCCACTCATCAATTTCTCTTGGTCTCTTCTTCCTTGCCCGCTTTTCTCCCATGCGTGCAATCGGCAAGTGCACGGTCTCATACACCGCAAGGTCAGGCAGCGAAGGAACCAACATTTCTGAGGCAAAACCCTCTCGATGAGTTCCAGAGGCTATGTTCTCCAGGTTCTGCATGTGTCGTTCCACCATGGTGTCCATGACATAGTCCTTTGGAGCGCCAAGCTTGGCTTTCAGCCGTTTGGCTTTGATGGCAGCGGCCACCAAAAATTCTCTGATGCCTCTCTTGAGCTTCTGGAAGGCTCCACCGGTGAGAGTTCCGATGGACTTCCTCACTTCTTCCGATTCTATATGTCGTCCTCTCCGCGATCCATCTGGTACATCGTGGGAAGAGTCTCCATGCGAGGCAGCATGTTCCAGTCGGGGTTCTCTAGGTTTTCGGCTCTCTCCAATCCCACTGGAAGACCACGAAGATCCTGGAGAGGCAATGGTTGGTGAGGCTGACTTGCTCCTTGGTGGACGGCTGACTCGCTCGGAGTCTGCAGGTTCTTCCCACTCTTCTGAGATTCCTTCAGAGCTATCCGGTTCTTCAGAATCTCCACTATGGGCTTCACCTTGGTCGTGATGTCCGCCACGGTGTCCTTCGGCAGAACGTCCACCTTCAGCAGCGTCGCCAACTTCACCAAGTCGGTCTTGTTGCGAGGGAGACCTCCTCGGGGACCTATGAGCTCTCGTGCCAGCTCTTCTCTTTGGCCATCCAGTGCGGCTACTGCTTTGTGAGTCTCTTCCACCAGGGCTGCTTGTTGGCGAGCACGGCTCCTTGTTTTCAAGGCTTTCAACCCGAAAGTCACCGCCTCGTCTTCCATGAAGCATTCCAGTAGCCCCATCCGAGATCTCAGCGTGATGGCATCCTTGAGGTGCACCGCTGTGAACAGATGTTGCACTCGAGACAGCCAAAGCTTCGGCCAAGTGCGACGTTTCACCATGTCCACAGCTTGAGCTTTCCATTCCACTGCAGTGGAGACCATCGGAAGCGGCGTTGGGAGAAACCGCAAAAATGGTCGTTGAATCAGCCATAGGAGCAGTCCTTGAAAATGCCATCTCTTCCGCAGCAGCATCCGGACCAACATGCGAATCCATCGCTGTTGAGAGGGATTGACCGGAGTCTGGGCAGGCAGCATCTTCTGCCACAAAGGCTTCTCTTGAGAGATACGGCTGTGGGATCTAGTGAACAACCATGTTCAAGTCACCACCAGCCGCACCGATCTTGGATTTTACCTTCCAAACCATTTTTCCTTCACATTGAACCTCACAAACACCTCCAACTCCAACACAATGCCACGGCTCTGCAGTGAGTGAAGGCCAAATGCTGGGGTCGGCAGGCAAGAGATTCAAACCATAGTGACCAGCTTTCATCTTTGAAAGGGGTATCCAACGATCTCCTAGAAACTTCAGCTGCATCCTGTTTCCCACAAAATCCAGCACAGCTCCAAGGCTCTCTAAGAAGTCTTTGCCCAAGAGACAACCTAGTGAATCGCAGGGGATTTCGCAAATCCAAATCAAAACCACACGATCCAGCAAAGGAACTGGAAGTCGGATGCGTTGGCCGCTCTGCAGCACGCCTCCATTTCCAAAACGAAAATAGTCAACTTGCTGTTTCATCTCCACCAAGCTCTGAATCCAGTTGGGGGCCAGCTTCAAGGCCTTCAGAACATTCTGAATCCAGACAGCTCCAGCACAACTTCTGTTGCAGGCGGAGTCCACAGCAGCAATGTTGATCTTGTCCCGGTCCAAACCTTTTGGAGTCGATGAGCTAGCTGCCAAAGCTTCAGACAGGGTGCTCACCACATTGATCTCATGGATCTCTGGCAAATCATCAAAACGAACACCAAAGGCGGCTTCCGTAAAAGCAACCTCTGCAGGCAGCAAGTCCACCACGTTGGACTCGGCAGGCTTGTAGGAAATTGGTTTGCCAACCGATCCAACCATTGGTTTCTTCAAGGGCTTTGGAAACTTCGGCATCGGTCGTTGACCTTGTCCACCACTATGGCCTTGTCCAACAGGTTGACCTTTGGGAGGACCAGGGCATTCTGCATCTCCTTGCCAGTGGCCTGGTTTGCCACAAACATAGCATTTGCCCTCTTTGGCACCCCCTCCACGGCCACGACCAGCTTGTTTCCCACCTGATCCACGGCCTTTGAAGCCACGATCTTTGCGAAGGGCTCCAATCTGAGCTCGAGCTTCACGAAGCGTAACCAGGGCTTCTACCGCATCATCCACTTGTTGTTCCAGGGTAGAAAGCTCCTCCTCGCTATGGCCAGCAGCTGCAGCTTCGTCCAGCTCGGTTGCCAGGATCTCCAAAGTTTCCTGTAAACCTTGAAATTCATCGTCATCTCCATCATCTTCGGCTCCATCTTCTGCTAGCTCGCCAATAGTCTCATTGGCTTCATTTTCATGGGTTTCTTCATCCATACCAGTGTCCTCCGCTTCAGTCACATAGACCGAGCCAGGACGGTTCTTGCTACGCCAGCTTGAAGAGGCAGTCGATGATGAAGAGGAAGGCAAACTCTTGCGAAACCTCGACAAAGTTGAGGATGTCAGGCTAGTTGTTCTTTTCTGAAAGTTGCCACCACCTCCAGGGCGTTGGTATCCACCAGCCATGTGAACCCGCTTGAAAAGCCTCACAGCTTCTCGTTCACATATTCCATAGTTATCTGTGTCAGACCCCAACGTTGTCTCCAACATCTGTTTCTGTATCTCCGAGAGCTGAAGCTTCTGCTTGAAGAACCAAGCTTGTTAAGATGTTAAGAAGGGTCCACATTCACACCTTCAGCTTTCATCTCCCCGACCAAGGTCCTGAACCTCATTGCGAAGTTCGGGATGCTTTCACTGGGTCCTCGTTTGAGGGTCATGTAGAACCTTTCTCTCAGTTCGCCCTTCCTGTCAAGGGCGGTGCGTCCAACCATCTCCTCCCATGATGACAAGATCCTTTGGATGCCGTAGTCATACTGGGCAGGGATGTCCTCCTCCATGCCTGTCTCCACATTGAGCTCCTTTTTCGCAGGCTTGTACTCCAAGTCCTTCGGGTCAAACTCCAAGGCCCGAAGTCTGGCACTGCCCTTCTGCCTCATAGCGAAGCGAGCTGCCAAGTTGAAGTCGGTGGTCTTCTTCAGGTCTATCGAACTCAGCCACCATGTCACACTGCGTTTGAAGTCACGCAGGCTGTCTGACCGCCCATCCCAAACGGGGATGTAGCTGTCAAACCCACGTTCCTCCTTCTTCTCATCGTCCGCCATCAGCCAAGGGAACTTGTAGAGGTAGTCCAGGAAATAGTTTCGGCCACCAACGCCAAGCGCCCAAAGAGCCAAGCAAGTCCAGGTAGTACAGGATGTAGTCGATGAGCAGCACGTCCAGGTAGAACAGGAACCAGCGAGACCAGGTAGTAGAGGTTGTAGTCCGCGCGAAGTTGAAGGTCAGGTAGTCCAGGATGTCGTCGTAGGCCAAGTCCAAGGTCAGGTAGTCCAAGATGTAGTCGAAGGCCAAGTCCAGGAAGAGGTAGTAGGCGATGTTCACAAAGTCCGCGTCCAAGTAGAAGAGGAAGTAGTCAGCGAAGCAGCGCACAGCAACGAAAGGGCACTGGACCACGGCGGGCTCCAGCTACCACTGTGAAATGGCAGCCGCCTACACCCAAGTCACAACAGGGGCAAGGCTAGCGTACACCTTTTCTGGTGACGTAGAGCCAAATGCTCAAGGCCTGTTAGACAGGTCAAAAGAAAGGTCTGAAGGACATGATGTGCTTTCACAAACATATTATAGACATATTGTTTTTCGAATAATGCATACTTACAAATCTTATGTCTATCTGTACATGTATAAACAATTATAAACAGCACTTCTCATAGAAAGATTGCAGGAAATTGCACTGCTCCAGGTCCCTCCTTGGTCTGAGCCCCGACCGGACAGCAAAATCAGCAAATCATAGCAAATCTGTAATGCCGTGAAGGGTTGGTCCCCAAAGGATACCCTCTGGTAATTTAACATAGCTATTGAAAATCACCATTTTTAATGGGAAAATCCACTATTAATGGTCATTTTCAATAGCTATGTTAAATTACCAGAGGGTAATTCCAAGGTGTCAAATTCTAAGGTGCCTCCTGGTGAACTGAAAAGTCCGGCAGGAAATGGCTGGGAAAAACAGGCTGGTCCGGCAGTCGATCAGGAGGATTCTTTTTGTGGCTCATTGTGGTCCTACTGTTGGCTATGGCTCAAACTTAACCCCAGAAAGGCGGATGGTTGCATAATGTCAGTGTAATGATTGTAATGTCAAATGCCAATTTCATTCAATTTCGAAATCACCATTTTGTGATATTTTGTGGCTCGCTACTAGTCCATTCTTAGCCATTCCCTCACCATTTCCGTCGAGCTTCGCTGTTTGCTGAATGCACAGACGCCCGCCTCACTTCATGGGGGTCATCCATGGTCATCCCATTGCGGTGTACGCGACGTGTCAATCATCCAATCGACCAATCATCCCACGTTCAAAACATGTTAAAACATGTTAAAACTGGGAGCTTTGAGGCACTGCCCTGCGTCCCAGTTGCAGAGCAGACAGGTTTGAACCAGAAAACCTGGGATTCCTCAGAAATAGTGCCGGGGGGGGGCTGATGAAGATGGCACACGTTCATAGTTGTTCATCCAACGTTTCATTGTTGCGGTGGCTGTTGGAGGCAATACAAAGCCTTGGAATCCCCTAGTTTTCACACAAAAAAAAATTCGGGATTGACCTACGATACCTATGGATATCCTATGCCTTAATGTGGGTTTGTTCATTTTTGTCCAAAAATGGAACCCCATGGCAGCTGAGCCTTCAGACTGGGGAATCACCACGTACCAAACATGTCTTGAATCAGTTTCTGCCAAAGTCAAGGTGTTTTCTACAGGATGTTGATTCCAGTCCCCAGATTCACATAGATTTACCATTTCAAGACCACCAAGATGAGCAGGCGCCCAGGTACTGCCCAATGTTGGGGGGATGATTTTTCGAAGTCACGTTAATAACTTGGCCTTTATTAAAAACATAATCAATTATATAATTTATATAATATATAAATATATATCATAGTAAAGAGGAAAAATTGTAACCATAGTGCACCAACAACAACTACCCAGCAGTGCAAGCGGGGGACTGTCCCTGCAACCTCTGCTGCAATTTCTTCACTTCTGCTGATAAGGTGTGCATGTCCGTGCTCCTCCCAAGTGATAACATGCGCAACATGCGATGGCACCGTGCCAGTCATCCCAATCAAATCACCCCCAAAATCAGCTACTTCTTGAGATGTATACAACCCATAGACCGGGCAATAGAATAATATGATATAATAGGACTGGTTCGTTCGTACAAGTATAGGCCAATAAATCTTTTTCTGAGTGCAAGTGCCCCCCCTAAAGCCCGCAGGTATGAAACATCATAAAACTATGATTCAGGATACTAAGGGCCAATGTTCTTTTTTTTGTCTCCAGCTCTGAACCAGCACCCAGAAAGTGTCCTCGCAGCACCTTTCAAGCGGCTGACGCCCCTGACCAACTGCTCGGCATTGATTGTGCCCTCTTCATCATGTTCTCCGATCACCATGTCAAACCTCGAAAATGCCAGCCACAAGAGCTTGCGAAATAGGCAGCTTGTCGGCCACATGGATGGTTGATCATCTCAAATCATCTTTTGCACTTTAGATCACTTTAGACACCACCAAGTTTTGAGGGTTTCAAACACAATCCCATCTTGCGGTTTGTGAATCCCTCTCATTAATAAATATGTCAATTTCGGAGAAAACCACATCTATTTTTGGGTTCCTATTTGTTGTGATTGTTGTTGCTTCTCTGCCTTTTGTCCTTCCTCTCAGCCAAGACTCACTGCCTCATCAAGAACAATCTACAATTCAAACACATTTATGCGGAGGTCATCCTAATACCCCTGAATGGATATTGGTCTGCGGGTGTCTGCGGTTTATTTTTACGGGAAAAAAAATAAAATAATGGGGAAGGGACTATGAACCAACCGGCTTACCCAACATTGGGTATGCAGCAGTCTCTAAAAGGTTCACGATCGCAAATTCGCCGAAAATCTGAAATCCAGTTCTGCAATAATGCTGTACCCACACAAAAATATAACTTATGAACCTAAGATCCCATTTTTATATACCTCTTCCCGTACCATGGAGGATTTTTCATTGTTGTAATCAGCTGTCATGGCGGTACCAAGACCAGGTGACAACGCGTTTGGGTCAGCAATCTGCAAGTCCATTGCTGCTAACCAGTTCACGATCTCTGGGTCTGTCATCCTGGGTTCAACCACCCTTTGACAATTTGGTTGAAATTTTGAATTTTTAAACAGCAGGACAAGGGATCCAGACAATTGACAAATGCGTGCCTCACTTTTGACTTTGTTTGACAAACCCAAGGGAATTTATGGAATTGTGTTGATAGAATATGTATACAAATATGTGACATCAACAAAAAATACATATGCATATAAAAATAAAAAATCCATATCAAAAACCTTGTTTAAAAGATGCAAAAATACACCACTATGTTGTATACATTGACGTATGTAAAGTATAGATAAAATCATACAACAATGATGAAATACATTACCGATAGGACCACACAAGGCGGTGGCGGAAGTTTCAAAGATAGGAAAGTATAGGGGAGGTGAGTAGTTGTGATGCATGGATGGCACAGCGAATCCACTGATGGACCGAAAGATGGTTGGAGTTGTGTTTTTTGGAGTGCTTGCAGCGGTCACCTCATCCATAACTGGTGGATGTAGCGTGGTGTTGTGTAGTTTCTTTGTAGTTGTAGTTGTAGCTGCATTTGTAGTTGCAGCTGAAGTTGTAGCTGTGGTTGTGCGTAGTTGTAGTTGTAGCTGTAGTCGTAATTGTAGTTGTAGTTATAATTGCCGAAGGAAGTTTAGAAGTCAAACTTCCGACAATATGGACAGATGAAAAGCAGAGATGGGAAGAGTCAGAGAAGAAAGAGAAAGTCTCAGAAGAAAGAAGATCCAGGTGCGAGAAAAGGTAGAAAAGTCGCGAAACACTGTTTTTCCAATGATTTGTGGCTCTGGAGGGTCGAAAAGTAGGTTCGCTAAAGCGGCGCATACAAAGCCATGTGGCCAGATAAAACATGAAAAGTTGCACACCGTTGTGGCGCGAAGCACATTTGGAAGTCAAAATGTCCAAAGCACACCATTCTCGGACCACTTTTGGAAGGTTAATATGTCGAAAAAGTGCACGCCGTTGTGGCGCAAAGCAAATTTCGAAGTCAAAAGTGTTGAAAACTGACGGGTTCGAAGCGCTTTTGGAAGTTGAGAAATTGAAAAAGCGCACGCCGTTGTGGCGCGAAGCACATTTCGAAGCCCACATGCACAAAACACGCATTAAAACCCTGCACTCGGAACGCTTTTGGAAGTTGCGGTCGAAAAAATGCACGCCGCTGTGGCGCGAAGCAGATAGCACCTCAGCCTCGGAGCACTTTTGGCAGTTCAGATGTTGAAAAAGTGAACGCCGTTGTGGCGGGAAGCACATTTGGAAGTCAAAATGTCCAAAGCACACCATTCTCGGACCACTTTTGGAAGGTTAATATGTCGAAAAAGTGCACGCCGTTGTGGCGCAAAGCAAATTTCGAAATCAAAAGTGTTGAAAACTGACGGGTTCGAAGCGCTTTTGGAAGTTGAGAAATTGAAAAAGCGCACGCCGTTGTGGCGCGAAGCACATTTCGAAGCCCACATGCACAAAACACGCATTAAAACCCTGCACTCGGAACACTTTTGGAAGTTGAGGTCGAAAAAATGCACGCCGCTGTGGCGCGAAGCAGATAGCACCTCAGCCTCGGAGCACTTTTGGCAGTTCAGATGTTGAAAAAGTGAACGCCGTTGTGGCGCAAAGCACATTTCCAAGTCAAAAGTGTAAAACTGAGGGGTACGGAGCACTTTTGGACGTTCAGATGTCGTTTTGCGTGGCAGGCGCAGGGGATTCTGCACCTCGTGAAAAGTTAGCAAAACGTGAGGGCTTTGTAGCAGTGTCAAAAACGATGGCAGGCGTGGCACATTTGAAGACGATCTGGAAAGATGAATGTCGCGTGGCAGGCGCAATACAAGAGTCACATGAAGTAGATGTGTTAAGAGATCAGGGCGGAGATTTCCTGAGAGGGGTTGCATTTTGGAGCGTGAGATCTTTAGGTTTTCTAAGATGATTTTGCGTGACAGGTGCAGCACTTCGTATGACCTGGCTTCACTTTTTCGTGGCAGGCGCAATACTTTAGAGACATGGACTGGAAAAATCGCAAAACGCATTGGTACCAGGCCGTCAGCTCTGCACGCAACTTTCCATTATTGAAGGAAGTCTCGCAGAATTGCTTCGTTTTTGATGCTGCCAACTTGAACACTTGAGGAAGTCTCGCAGAACTGCTTCGTTTTTGACGTTGTCAAGTTCAAAAAGTGAGGAAGTCTCGCAGAATAGCTCCGTTTTCAGGCTTGCAGATAGACAGATAGATAGATAGATAGATAGGTAGGTAGGTAGGTAGATAGATAGAAAGACAGACAGATAGATAGATAGATAGGTAGATAGTCAAACAGATAGTCAAATAGATAGCCAAATAGTCAAATAGATAGTCTCTATTAATAGATAGTCAAATAGATGGGTAGATAGATGGGTAGATAGATGGGTAGATAGATGGATGCACAGATAGACAGATAGATAGATAGATAGATAGGTAGGTAGGTAGGTAGACAGATAGACAGATAGATAGTGAGAGAAAGAGAAAGAGAGAGAAAGAGAGAGAAAGAGAGAGAAAGAGAGAGAAAGAGAGAGAAAGAGAGGAGACTCAGAGTCTCAGCCACCTTTCGGTCCATCAATCGGTTTGCTCTGCCATCCGTGCTTCAACCTTTCCTATAGGTTTCCCTATTTTTGAAACTTCCGCCACCGCCCTGAGTGGTAGTGTAGTGGTACTCTAGTGGGGTGTACTCTAGTGGAGTGCAGTTGTAGCTGTGTGTAGCGTAGTGTAGTACAGTGCCGTGTAGTGTAAGTGCAGAGTGTCGTGTAGGTGTACTGTAATGGCAGTGGTAGTTGTAGTGGTAGTTGTAATTGTAGTGGTAGTGTGGTGTAGCGTAGTGGTGTTTGTAGCTGTAATAGTTGTAGTTGTAGCTGTAGCTGTAGTAGTAATTGTTGTTGTAGTTGTGCGGTTGAACGTCCGAAAGTGGTCCGAACATGGTCTCCTTTGCACATTTGAATTCAAGATGTGCATCACGCGAGAACCGCACGCACTTTTTCGACATCTCAACTTCCAAAAGTGGTCCGAGAAAGGTGTGTTTTGCACATTTTGACTTGGAAATATGCTTCGCACCACAACGGCGTGCACTTTTTCGACGTCACAACTTCCAAACGTGGTCCGAGACGGACAGTTTTTAACACTTTTGACTTCGAAATGTGCTTCGCGCCAAAACGGCGTCCATTTTGGGAAATTTAAACATCTGAACTTCCAAAATTGTTCCGAGGCTGAAGTGTCTTGCAAATTTTGACTTGGACATGTGCTTCGCGCAACGGCATGCGCTTTTTCGACATCTCAACTTCCAAAACAGCTCCCACAATGGTGTGCTTTTCACGTGTTGACTTCGAAATGCTCTTCGCGCCACGACGGCATGCAATTGCTCCGCACCCGCCGCTCTAGCGAGCCTACTTTTCGATCTTCCTGGGCCACAAAACAGAGGAAAAACACAGTGCTTCGCGACTTTTCTACCTTCTCACGCGCCTGCATCTTAATTTCTTCTGACTCTTTCTCTTCTCTGATCTTCTTTCTTCTTCCTTTATCTTCTCCGACTCTTCCCACCTGTCCTTTTCCATCTGTCCATATTGTCAGAAGTTTGACTTCTAAACTTCCTTCGATGAACAGTACACACACACACACAAACATCAGCATATACATATACATGTTTATTTCTACATGCACATGTGACCTATACAATCCTATACATAAATAACGAAAAAAGATATATGTATATATGTATAGATATGTATGGTTTCATTTCCTCAAACAACACAAACCAACATATGTGCGTAAGTAAAACAAAATGATGCTCGTTACATCGACAAGTTGCACTTGGATGAACTCCTCCCTGTCCAGCACGCCGTCGCCGGTCTCATCGGCAGCCTCCGTCAAACGAGAAAAAATCAACCCGTCATGGGTGGAAATGTCATGGAACATGTACGGAAGATGTCATGGAAATTTGGTGAAAGGAAAATGCGGGATCGCCACAAATATGAATCATTGAGAATAAGAGAGATAAATGATAAGCTTCGATAAATGGTCAACATTGCTAGTGGCATTCCCACAGACACAAGAGGGCCAGTTGGGATGCATTCATAAGTTTGTCATATAGTGTTGTCGGTCTCTACGTGTTCCCAAGTGGACCGCCTCGAACAAGGACTTCATCTTCTTGATGTGCTGATCCCGTTTTTTCTCCGTGTTGCCTCAAGGGCCACTCTATCGGAGGAAAACCCTTGTGATGGAGAATTGTTTCCAACACCATTCTTCGGTGGAAACGTGTGGAAACCATGGTTGTGCAATGAAAGATAATGAAAGTATTGGAATTGTGCACGAATCACTTCGTCCGAACCCTGCTGCAATCTAAAAAGGCCAAGTGGCGCATCATGATTTTATCGTCATTCTCCGCCGCAGAGAATGTCTCTTTCAAAAATACGCCATTTATGACAGCAATCAGAGCATAGCCCACGGTGATCTGCGCGCATGAAGCACTGGAATGCATCAAGGCTGTGAGTTTTGAAACATATTTCTACATGCATGACATATATATATTTATATATTTAAATATGTACATATATTTATCTATATATAATATATATATATATATATTCATGCATTGATGTATTCATTGGTCTATTTATTCATTTATTCATGTATTTATTCTTTTTGTACCTACATACATAGATATACAACTATGTATCTATGTATATGTATCTATAGTTAATACAAAAAATGAAACTACTGATAAACGATAAATATGTAAACACACATGCAAAAAAAACTCATGCATATGTGTATACAATCTAAAATGTATATATAAAGATAATTATTGAGTTATCTATTTATTCAACTTGAAAGTATTTGAATATTACACATGTGCAACAACACGTATACAAGAGAAAAAACATGTCAATATCTAAATACACTTTTGTGTGTGTGTGTGCGGTGCGTGCATGTATGTGTAAATATTAGAATATGTACGTATAAAAAGACATGTACGTACATGTATGCATGTTTGTTGTATAAAAGCAAATTATCCCGGCAAGAGACCCCAAACAGTGTGTAGTAAGGATTCTAAAGGCGAAGGTGGAAAGGACCCAAAATCATCAGTGGCTGCAAGCTAGCAGGACAAGAGCGGCCCTAGTAATGAAAGCATGGTGTTCATTCAAGGTGGTCTCTGAGAGTTAGATTCTGCAAGTTCCCTTTGCGAAGACCTCTGTAGGAGATCGCGCGCAAGATCCCCTTGGCAGGTTCTCTGTAGAAGCTGCTGTGCAAGATCCCTTTGTAAGGCTATCTGTACAAGGTGTCTATAAGATATCTCCACAGAAGATCTCTGTAAGAGATCTCAAAGGAAGATCTCTGTTCAAGCTCTCTGAGCAAGATCTCTGAGCAAGATCTCTGTACAAGATCTCTGCTCTCTTCACCAAGTCTCTGTACAAGATCCCTATAAGAGGTCTCCTGGCAAGATCTCTCACAAGATCTCTATAAGAGCTCTGTTGGCAAGATCTCTGTAAGAGACCTCTTGGCAAGATCTCTGCACAGATCTCCATAAGAGGTCTCTTGGCAAGATCTCTGTACAAGCTGCGTATCAGAGGTCTCTTTGCAGGATCTCTTTATGAGATCGCTGTACAAGCTCTCTAAAAAAGCTCTCTTGGCAAGATTTATGTGAGAAACCTCTTGGCAAGATCTGGAAACGGCCATTTTTTGACGACTAATGTGGTCGATTTTGTATTCGGGCTGATCTTACTTTACTTTGCAAGAACATGTGTCGCTTTTTCTGTGCGGAAATTGCTGGGAAAAATGCGGAAATACCTGGGCAGAATCAACATGACTGAAAAACGAAAACATGAGATTGATTTTTTTAATGGCCGTGTTTATTTTGAAATGGACAAAGTGCACAAAAAAATTACGGAAACAAACCAACATCTGCAAATTTGTAACGAATGAAGATCCATGTGTGTATGTGTGTGCGTGCGTGTGTCTGTGTGTGTGTTTGGATATTATATATATATATAAATATAATATACAATAATATACACATATCATATGTATATTATATACATATATATAATATATATATATATTATTTATTATTATGTAAGTTTGTAGATACCCGATCAAATCTTAATAATTAAATTGGGGATGTTCCATGCCTTGCCCCCGAAAGATTAACTGCCCACCTTGTGGAGGATCGAGAAGGCGCAAAACGCCTCATGCACGTGGTCTTGCAGAATCCTCACAGGTGCGCGTCATAAGCACGTCCAGAAATTTGGAGCCCCGGAAGTACGTTGAAATCGTTTTGAAAATGTGTGAAATCCCCCAAACCCAGTCTAGAAGGGGGAACCCAAACAAATCCAACTGGGGTAGATAGCATTATGCTATCATATTCTGATATTCTTTGCCCGCACAAGCATGTCTTCCAAATGTTTCCCATATATATGGCTTCGTGTCCAACAATGTCCAACACATTTTGCTTCTTTTTGGATCAGCCTCTCTCTCTCTCTCTGATCAGCACAACACGATTCTCAAGATTTTTCCATGTTTTTCCTAGAAAAATGCATGAAAATGCGCAATTTTAATTGCAGTAGGAAGATCATCATTCTGATCCGAACCGGAAACAAATTCACGCTGTCGCACCTCGCCACGGGTGGCCAGTTTCCCAAAGTAATTTCCTGGGTCCATGGAGAGATCATTTGTCCAGTTTTCAATGGGTTTCAGGTGGCGCAAAACCCAAAAAAAACAGCCAAAATGGGATGAGACTTAATTGGCCTTGTGATGTAACCTGCCCTGGCATGCTCCATGACCCAGCAGAACCACCATGACATTGTTGGAATTAACATCCAAAGGTATCCAAAGGTGCTGTAGCACTACACCGTTTCTGTAGTGGATCAAACATAGGAGAGTTTGGAAGGAGAATTCATGAGAGTTTCTAAACGGCAGGACATCAAACTCCAAAGTGCGCATGAGTCAAAATTTGGGACTTCTTGACCTAACAAGAATCCACCGTTCTCCAGCTTCCGAGGCACAAACATCGTCAAAAGCGATCTGCTGCAGGTCCCAAAGTGGAGGAACAACTCCTCCTGCACCGCTGGCGTCCGATCTCCGCTAACAATTGTCTCTTGAACGATCCTCTGCCTCAGGGCAGGGCACACAAGCTCAAGCACCAGATCCACCAGTGGAATCCAGTGGCTGCCAAGAAGCAGAAACAGCGCGAAGATCAACTGTAGCAAGAAAAGCCTGGATAGACAGCATCAACCGGAGATGACAGTGTATTATTGTATTGTTCTCCCTCGGTGAAGAGATTCCGTCGATTAAAATGGACTCTTTCTGTGCATGGTGCAGGAGCTTCAGGCTTCGATGTTACATGATACCACTAGTGTGGTAAGAGGTGCCCACTTGCCAACTTATGTAGACCCACCCCTTGATGAATTATGATGCCATGGATCATGGATGGAGGTTTCTTGATCACTTCCATCTCAAATCAAGGCTGGACCGCTGCATTGGATCATGGAATAGCATGCTACCAACTCCAGGGCCGGGAACTAGGCTGGATATGTAAGGTCCCACACTGGAAAGTTCACTCAATTACCAAAACCCAGTGTATGGTGTGTGTGTGGATATTTTCCGAGTATTTGTATCATTTTCTATATTACCATAATACATATCTTTCATTGGCCAAATTTTGCAGGGCTGGTACAGGGTCAGGTCTTGCAACGCACCAATTTCTCCAGGTGGCATTAGAAAGGACCACAGTAGCACCTTGGCTGACACGGGACTGCGAGAGTATCAATGCGCTTGTGAGAAAATTGTGGGATACCCCAACATGTTCGATAAATATTGCGATCAACCAATTTCACTTGAGGTGCTATAATTTCATGGAAAATCAGGCAATTCAGAGGAAATATTGTTAAAACGGTGACGCTTCAGCGGAGGAAATGTGGCAAGTCTTTGTGCCCATACTTTGGACGACCAGTAGACGAGCAGCCGGTTTCTTTCAAAGATGTCTCTTAGTCTTCTTTAGTCTTCTTCACAACAGATCTTAAAATAGTGAACTTGGCCTCCTATCTTACTGCTGTGGTCTAACATGCCGGAAGGTACTTCGGGCTGTGCAAAAAATAAGAAAAAAAATGTCAACCAAGTCATAAACTGAGGACATCGGGTCCAAACATGTCCAAACATGATCCAGCTGTCCAGCTGCCCTGCAGGCAAGGTGCTGTAACAGAGCCACGCAGCGCAGTGGTTAAGATGTAAAGCGCCTCAGACAGGTCTGATTTTGCTAGTCGTTAAAACCGACAGGGAACATGGTGATGGTTCTTAGCCAAAGTGGGGGGAGAAAGCAAGCATCCACCAACACATGGTGATGGTTTTCAGTCCACCAACACTAGTGGAATAAAGAGTGTAATTAAGACAAATCGATAGAGGATGATAGAGGGTACTTGGGTCTATTTAGATGCTTTTCAAACATCAGGACCGCCCAAAGCCACCAGTTGGGAGGTGTATCTAAGAAACACATATCATGATTGGTCACAACAATCTTGGCAGCAAGGTCTCACCTCTGCTGTGTTTCAGGTAACAACCAGTCGCATTCACCATTGGTGTATTCTTCAGACACAGGGACGTTACCCATTCAAAGCATCAGCTGACGGTGAAGCCCTACATGGGAAAGTCAACAGTCGGCCCAGGGGGCCATGGGGCCCGTAAGTCTTGTGCTGAAGTGGGGGGAATTGTCAAGGTAAAAGGGTCACGAAGTCCGCACTGGACGCATTTCTTCTTGTGTCATGTGTGAGGTGCAAGATATGTGAGAAAACAACCAAACAGCACCAAGCAAGGTATCCTGGACAAGTGTGCAATGACCAATCGTATCGTCAAGGGAGTTTCACAATAGCTAAGGATGATATTCCTACCTGCGCGCTTCTCTTTGCCATACCATCATCATGTATGCAGTTGATTAAAACCACCTCAGTCACCTCAGCCAGCTGAATTCATATCCTTCTACGGGTCTGGTCATACGAATTCTCAATTCATGGTTTGTAGCAGTACCCATCGAACCTGGCAGCAGTTATAATGACATCTGATGGCATCCAAAGTCACTATCCCCATCAACCCCTAGACGGACTCCATTCGGGTTGTCCATGCGGAAGTCTGAATTTCCAATGATTAGCACGCATAAATCCATATACCATCAACGGTGTAATGGTAAACTAAGATCTCACTTGTGCCCCAACATCAGTCCCACCACGGCATCTGGTTGGGCTCAAACCGTCTCAAAATTGATACCATCTGGGGATCACCATCCTAAATATACAAAAAGAAATAACATAAAAATCTGAAACTAAAGCAGCAAGCATCTATATAATATATATATACATGAACCTCCCAACCAGTATCTACCAGTCATGTCCATGTCATGTCCAGTTGATTTCCATGTTGCGTCCACTACCACCAGGTCGTTCTCCTATCACCTCCAGATTATCATCCATAGTGCTACTATATCGACTAAATTAGTTCTATCAATGAACCAGATGACTAGCCAATCAAACTTATTGGTTTGGCTGACAAGAGACATTAGCATCCACGACTAACAAGAATACCAACGAACAAAAACAACTGTATCTCTCTCTCTCTTTCTGTATGTATATAATTATATTACATAATATTATATATGTATAATCCATACTATAAATGTGTAAAATAAATACATATATATATATATATAGAATATCTTCCTGTTTCCTCGCCAGGGCGCGTCAAATCCCTTGAGTTTGCGCACCAGTCGCATCAAGCGCAACAAACGTCCCAACTTCGCCAGGCGGAGTAACATGGGATCGATGGGCCAAAAGCCTGGCTCCGCTGGCGTCGGTAGCGAGAAACAAAATATGGGAGGCCCTGATGTAAAAAAAAACTTTCTTTGATATTGATGCATATTGAACCATACAGAACCCAGGTTTCCATAGTAGGTTTCCCAGGTTTTACTCAAAATGGCGGATTTGTTTGCAGGAAAGCAATGGTTTGATCAGACAGAATGATGGACAATCTAATCTACAGGAAAGCGTGGTTCTGTGGGTAAACCATTTGTCTTGAACGATCTTTTAAAAAATAAGCAAACCATTCATTGCCCAACCAGCACAGTTGGGCACTCAATTTTCTGTGGGACATTAGCTTGATTCTTGCATTGGTTTCACGTATCATTTCAAGTGGAGAGGTTGGCACCTAAAGCTGGATTTGCAAACCTATCAGTTCACTAAAGCTCAAGAATTTCTCCTCTGCCTCTGCAAACCCTCCAGCAATCCGACACGGGAAGGACTCATCAGTTTCAAAATCGTCAAATTATCTGGGTTCAAAATCCCTGAAATCCATTAGTGAATCGCATGTTTCCCAATCAACATCACCATCAAATAGGGGAGCCATCCCCCATGTTCAATCAGCCAGTTTTCTGCGCTGTCCTGGCCTCGCAAAACTGTGTCAATCAGCCAGGCTATGACCTCGCTTGTGGACAGTTCATGCCATTTTGGTATCCCAAAATCAGAACCCCTAAGCCTTAGGGGGACAATGATACACTACGATCATGATACATGATGATACATGGTATATTACATGGATCAAACTCCCCTCTAAACCATGTTTCAATATGTTTCAATGACTTTTGTCATCCCACGATGGGAAATCCACGACCGCCAAGAGTGGCTTGAACGACTTGAACGAGAACCAGAGACAATCTGTATCAATCTGTCCACTGTGGCATCAACTCCAAACAATACAACTTGCATCAACTTGTATCTTTCTTTTCCAGGTCAAGTTGTAACCATTGTAACAGAATCTTAAACTGGAAGATGCTCATAGATGCTCATAGATGCTCCATTTCCATGTGAATTAGGTTGTTTGAGATCAATCCTGTGGAGGTCTCCAGAACTCTGTCCATCACTGCTGTCCAAGTCGCAGTGACTGCATCGAAAATGTTCCAAATATCCAGAAAGAACGCCAGCTTCATTCCCATCTTAGCAACATGGTGATCCAATGTGATTCATGCTTCTGAATCTTCAGAATCTTCAGAGGTGATAGCTGTCCAGCTCTGCTCTCTCCAACCATCCAATGTAGGAGGCCAGGGGGGGGTCCAACAAGATGAGTCTCAAGAGACTTTTAAATTGTTTGAATGAACATCAACGAAGGAGAACCCAGGCTGCCAAAGATATGTTCAGAGCACAAATGAATACAAGGTGAATTTGGCATCACAGTCGCCCTAATTCATCCTGTGGCCCGTGAAATCATGAGCATTTAGAGAGGTTTGAAAGGTGTATATGGTCTATATATCTGAATCACTGTTGGATGATGTTGGATGCTCTGATTGACATGTATGAATATCCCAAAGAATTATGGATGCTTTTTATTCCGAAGCATGACGGTCGAACAAGAATATCTGGATGCTTTGATTAGCCAAGATCCCACAAAAAATGGATGTGCTGATTGACGTCATCTTGATGTCTAACACCCTCTGAAAGCAACCGTCAAAGCATGCCCTGCCCAACTTCCGGCCCAATTTCCTGCAAATTCCAAGGCCGGGGCCAGCTTGATCAGCAACTCAACCAGGAAGATGGGGCCAAAAATCCATTCCTCCGCTGGAGCCGTTGCGATGTTATGGGGGATTCCAATGATGACGTGCTGGGCTTTCCAGAGTGAGCTTCCAGAGCCAAGGGGCTGAGATCTCCCAAGCATACTCTGCACCGGGCCAAGCTTTGCTTGCCGGAAGATCGTAGGTTCGGATGCCTGTCCCAGGTATAGATGAAAAGTTCATGAATATGATATCGATGGACTATTGATCCATAGATGGATGGATGGAAACAATGGTGAAGGACGATCGAAAAGTCGTTTAAAAAAATGTGAACGATTTCGTATGCACAAATCATGAAGTTTGGTGATCGATTCTCAGACGCGTGGCGAGTTGCTGAAGCCTGACTTGGAGGATATTTTGAGATAACCCTTCTTTCAGCTTTCTGATGAATTTGCTAGGTACATTTTTTGTGTGAATTTGCTAGGTCCTCAAATTGTGGAAATGCTTATATTGACAGCACGTCGAGAGCTGACAGGTGGTTGGAATGTTATGGAATGTTGGAAACCTCGGCAAGAAATAGGTCGTGTTTCATACCACCAAAGAAGGCATGAACAAACCCCAAGCAGTGGCAGCACCGGTGCCTAAGTCATAGCCAAGTTGTAGACCGTACTCAGTCGCGTGAGTCAGAGCTTCATCTTGTTGCTGAAGACACTGGGAAATCGTGGCATCAACATCATCACATTTAACGAACCTCTGTGGCAATATTTCCATTAGTATTTCCACTTATTGTGTGCGCTCGTCACCATGGTTGCAGCATGTTGCAGCTCGCCCCACGAATCCCATCTTGTGGCTCAACAACAGGTCCAACATGGTCCAACGGTCCAACTTTCTCCACATATCTCCACATGAGCTGATCAGATATCACCCAGATATCACCCAGCTGATCGCCCAGTGATGCCCAGTGGCATACTGAGTCTCAAAGGCCATGATTAGGGTGTTGATCATGATGATGGAGCAAATAACGCTCTCGAACAGCGGGTGGGTCACGATTCGAAACATCTTGGAGGCGGCTGATCTCTGATCAAAGCCTTGGCCCACAAAGCTTCCCATTGCTACGAGTAAGATAGATATCAGATATCAATAGATATCAGATATCATGTGTCTTACATGTGTGTACTATCTCTGTGTGTGTGCATCTTGCAGATATGCGTCTGTACAGAAAATGGAATCACATTGGAAAAATCACAAGATACCAAAAGAAAAATGCAATTTACTTACACAAAACTCGCTCCGAACCCAGTCTTGGAGATTTTATTTTGACTTTCTGGCAGGTGATCCTCGACCAGACAACAATTGAAAGTAACATCGTGCAACAGCAAAAGGAAATATGGGGCAATCCATTCATAGTCAGGGTCCACTTCAATGACAGCCAATTTAATCCCAATGAATTCCTTGTTTCTGGCCCTTGAATCCACAATTGTGCGGCTGAACAGGATCTGTTTATGGGTGAAATCGCTGCCTCCCGAAGCCCGAGCCACTCGCGGACCGTTGTTTGTCCATCTTCTCGAAGCGGGATCCCTTGGAACGCTGGCGATTGGGCCCATGGGGATGATGAACATCCACCACCATTACCTGTACCTATCACTACCTATCCATCAGGCGGCGACTTTAGCAACTTGAGAGTTGCTAAGGGGGGACAAAAGGAAGTAGTTGTGAAGTGTTGTGACAGTAATTGGGGGAAGGCAGAGTGCCGGTGATGTGTTTTTTGGTTGGTGCCTGCCCGGATTGACCCATCACATTTTCCTTGAACGCAGGTGCAACATCAATGGCGTGTAGTTGATATAGATTATAGTCAGACAATAAACAAGGGAAAAATCAATCTGATTATGATTAAAAAAATAATGGTTAAGATGGGAATGTTGTTCTTTCTACTATGATTGGTAGTAATGTTGTGATTAGTCATTAGGATGGCCCTGATGATGGTGATGATGATGACGACGATGACGACGACGACGGTGATGGTATGGCTGAAGGATCCATGCAACAAGTACGAACCCCTTTCAATTGGTAGCAGCATAGCCCATCTTTGGACTGGGAATCGAAACCGTGACCATTCTAGAGGGCCCCAGCCCAAAAGTGAAGAATCCCTTCTAATCGCAAAAAAGTCACCCGAGAAAACTGTGCCACAGCACGGAAAAATCATTCATTCTCAAACGTCTTCAGCTATCTCTATTCAGGGAAACCACCCAATTGATGTCCTCATTCATCTATGCTGATAGCTTCCCCATAGGCTGCTGAGCCTGCTGATATTCCCAGCAATGTCCCCATTGCACGGAATGAATCTCGAGTTGACCTGCCTGCCTGTCTTGGTACCATCCCTATGATTCGTGACGTCCCAAGTCTTGATGATTGTATCCCGGCAGGTGAAAATATGTCAACTATATGACTATATGGCTGTTGATATCCACATACGTCCAAATTTTCCAAACTATAGCCAGTATTAGCCAGTTACTACATGTTACTACTAAGTTACTACATCCTAAGTATGGCCCATGTCGATGGGGAGGTGCCCCTCAGAGATGCCAAGGAACGTGTGCTCGCTTCTTCTCCTCATTTGGGGACTCACGTTTGACCTGCAGGCAGTAAACCAGCCATAATGGTCATCATGGAGCCATGGAGCACCCCCAAAATGCATCAAAATGCAACTTTCAGGATTAAACCATCCATTAAACCATCCATTTTGGAGTGGTTGATAACTTTGATCCATTTGAATCCATTTGATGATAATCGTTGATTCGATAATCCAATTAAGGAAGCATACCAACCCAACCTTTACATTTCTTTTACCATTCAGGGGGTTGGCATAACCCCCACCTAATTAGGCTGTTCTGATTGTTTACCAAATAGCATCCTATTTTGGCTGCGAATGACTCTACTTCTTTCAAGGCTGAAGACCTTTGATTTCAACCGGCCGACTCTGCCAGGGCGCCTGAGTTTGCCCTTGAATCCGCACCACATGAAATTGTGAATCTCGGTCCTGACCATAACGGGCCAACCTAGACCATCCAGACCTCGCTTGGATATCTATCCTGGGAATATGGGGTGGGAAGCTTGCCCAGGAACCTGTGTGTCGCTGCGCTAGATCTGATCTGCTCTGGAGCTGTTTATTCTGTCAGAAGACCCGCGAAGCATTCTGCAGGCAAAACACTTGGGAAGATTTCAGAATCCTAATGGACCCCACATCTGAGCACGCAATTCGGGGTGATTTTATGCTCCAATTTTGCGCATCGTTCGTTTGTGATCTGACTTTTTTCCACCCATCTGGCTGAGTCAGATTTTTTCACCCATCTGAAATAGCGTGAACTAAGGAATGATTTGGGGGTGGTTCCCCCCCATATAAACAGCATCCTTTCTGGTGACGTAGATCATGGCGATTCACCCAGACCCCACGCCTCTTTTGGTGAGGAACGGGCTGAAGACTGAGAGGTAAAGCGCTTCCACTCCCCCGCTGCCTCCAGCTCCTGCCATGTCCGTAGTGAAGAATGGGATGCCCAAATTTCATGATATCTGGTGAGTCATTCCCAAGAATTGTGATATAACATGATATCATATGATGATCAATGGAAGTGGAGGAATGTAGGTAAACAACAGCATGTAGAAGCGGCAATGTCCAACACTTCCCACAACTCTCCATCCAAGCCTTGAAACATTTACCCAACCCTTTCACCATGACAATGTCCCCGGTGTGCAGCCGGAAACGATCGTTTCAGCTTTCCAAACAAAGCCAGATCACGATCCGCACCACTGAACACAACCACAGAACAACAAGAGCTGCTGTTTCGTGGAACCCTTCATCAAATTTCAGGAAAGCGAGCATCCCTGAACTATTCACTAATCATCAATCTACCATGGATGCACCTTAAAACTCATTCAATCTTCAACTCCCAAAACCGCCCAAAAACTATGTGGACCGTAGAGGTAACATCCATAAGTCCATGGGTGATCCTCGCATTTTCATCAGTGATTGATGTGGGGTGGTTAAGTTAAGTGGGGTACGCCCAAGTTGATGATCATTAAAACATGCCGAACGTAAATGTCAAAACTGATTTATTTCATTGGGGCTTTTGGGTGCTTGGAGAATGTGAGCCATGAACAATATATTATACCCATATCTTATCAAATTGTACTGGTTCGGTCATCGGGCTCCCGTTGATTGCGGGTTGCCAATATTACGCAACGAAGCGGAGCGGGAGTTCCAAGACTGAGTTTTAGTGGCGACAGAGGCACCTTTTTTGTAGAGGTTGACACATGTCGTCAGCGTCAGTTGGAGTGCAAGACTGACATGACATAATTGACCAAAATGAAAGGAAACGAATGAATGCATGAAGAATGCATGCCTGGAAGAAAGAATTAGTGAATGACCTGGACGGATGGACGAGGGATGGATGGATGACGGAGGGTCGCAAAACACAATGGATGCTGTGAAATCACTGTTCTTATCGAAACCATCGAACCACAGTTCCAATGCGGACTATTTCATCCAAACCCCTAGCATATCCGCAACCAGCACATGAACAACCGCCCCGGCGGAGCCGCCACAAGCACCACATCTTGTAAAATCCGCCCACACCGCTTTGGCGGTGAAGGCGTGCTTATTGGGGGGCAACAGCAACACTAAATGCTCAATGACATTTGTTAATATAGCAGTCGCTATATCAGCTTTAGCTGGGGGGGGGGGCCAAAAACGGTTTCGCACCGAGACCAGACCCCAAAAACGGTTTCGCACCGAGACCAGAATACGGTGGTGTTTTCGACATTTTTCGAGGATTTTTGGGTGTCTGAGCGCAAGAGGGTATTGAAATGGAATTTTGGGTCATTTTGGTAGCTTTCCGGCAATGGAAAAACGGCCAAAAATGAAAAAAACATTGTACATAGCAAGATTTTGCAGGGTTTTTGGATGCCAGAGCATTGAAAACACTGCAAAAACAAGTGTTTTGGACTGACGTTATAGCAAAAAACGTGTAAATTACCGTATGCTTGACTGGAAACATTACAAAAACACTGTCAAAAGCAATGTTTTGGAAGGATTTACTGCCTTTATGGCAAAAAACGTGTAAATTACCGTCTGTTTGACTGGAAACATTGGAAAAACACTGTCAAAAACAATGTTTTGGAAGGATTTCTATATATATATGTTGGAGTTGGCTACCGGCATTGGCACATGGAAAAATTGAAGAAAACACTGTAAATAGCGGTATTTTCAACGGTTGGGGAGATAAGGGAATTGGAAGCATTGTCGAACATGATGTTTTCGACCGGTTTTATGGCGACAAAAGTGTAAAGTACCGTGCTTTGAAGGAAACCATTGCAAAAACATGGAAACACATTCAAAGAACACGGGATTTGGGGGACTATCTAGGCGTCGTTGTCTAGCTATTTGAAATTCCGCAGCTTGGAGAGCCTCCAAGGGAGGGAAAAGTGAAAATTCCATAGCTTGGGAAGCTGTCACGGCGGGGAAAAGTGAAAATTCCCTAGCTTGGGAAGCCCCCACGGGGGGGAAAAGTGAAAATTCCCTAGCTTGGGGAGCCCCCACGGGGGGGAAAAGTGAAAATTCCCTAGCTTGGGGAGCCCCCACGGGGGGGAAAAGTGAAAATTCCCTAGCTTGGGGAGCCCCCACGGGGGGGAAAAGTGAAAATTCCCTAGCTTGGGGAGCCCCCACGGGGGGGAAAAGTGAAAATTCCCTAGCTTGGGGAGCCCCCCACGGGGGGGGGGAAGTGAAACTTCTTAGCTTGGGGAGCCCCCACGGGGGAAAACCACCCTTAGCCCCTCTCACGGACCGAAATAAACCTGCGGTGTGGGCGGCCACCCCACGCGAAGCGGGGTGAATATATTTTCAAAAAAAATATTTCAGGTGCGCACTATCACTTTGCCGCATCTCTGACCTTGACGCAGCCATTCCAATGCGATCGACAATCCTGCCCCACGAAAGATAAGTGTACTGCTGCATCACTTTTCTACTGACAAGTCTACTGAGTCTACTAGCCTATTGATCTCCAGCCTCACTGATCCTCTGATCTGATCTAATTCCATCAACCCTACTGTTCTTATCTGTTGCCTGCAGCAGCTCTACACTCTATTCCATTTGTTCGTACCCAAACTTCCTTGAGAACTATCCCCTTATACATTAGGTAGTATAACCGTGTATCACCCCATATAATCATCAACCAACAATCACTTAATTGTCCATCATAGCCCCGCATGTCTTGTAGGTAATTAAAGACATTACAGATCATATTTGATGGTGAAGTATGGTTCAGTCAAGTCCCAGTAAAATACTGCAACCATCTGTAACCCATCACGGGTAATGGTTCAATGGCTGTGTTTACCGGGCCTCGGCAGCTGGTTTTGGAATGGGCGCATTGTCCAGCCTGAGGGTATGGAAAAGGCACCATTTATACATATACTCCAAGGTACATCATGGGAACCATCGGGTTTTTTCCTATGCTTTTCCATCTCTATTTTTGGTTTGAAAGGTAAAACATGGCAGAAATCTAAAAATTGAAGCCATGGGAAATTGGATAAACCGCATATGGAAACGGGGACGGTTTGACCAATAGAAATGGAATGTGTATCAACCATTAAAGACCATCTACACCAATGAATCCCAAAGCTGATTTGCTGGGTCATGATTGATGTTTCCCATTTGATCAGTGTTTTTTTGAGGTGCTTGGGTCCCATACACTAACTTAGGCTACCTACGCAGTGTCTACGCGAACCTACGCCATGTGGAAGATAGCCTACCGTGGAAGCACATGTCAATAGCAGCGCCTACGCCAAGAGCTTACGCCGCCTACGCGGCACTGCAAAACACACACATGATCAGCCTATGCAGCATATCATGCAGTTGCATCTTATCGAAATTTGATCTGAAAAAAATACGATGCTCATTTATGGGTAACATCGAGGTCGCTATTAACTACTGTATCCAAAGGTGTGATCAAGTGTGTCCTGTTTTGCAATGGTCTTGTACATTGCTGCTGGTTGTGTCCGAACCAAGTTCGAAGAAGGGTGACCATCTCCCATGGTGTTCGGGATTTTCATCCAATCACTATTGGGCGTTCCAAACACATATTTCAAAAATGCGGTTTTTCCCAATGTATACAGTTTATTGATGTTTATTGTATGGGCATGGTTCACCACATTACTCATTACCCCCTAAAGTCATATAAATTCCATCCCCTAACCAAAAACCAGAAACAAAATCGGCCGTTTGCCGAATGGCACTCCCATGGCTTTTTTTGTGGATGCAAATCACTGGGAATCCCCATCAGAATCCCAAAAAGTTGATTTTTGGATGGGCATTGTGTTCTCCCAGTGTATCGCAACAATATAGACATATATAGACTACATAACCCTTGAACTATCTTGAACTTACCCTTCACAGGTCCATTTAACGACGTATTCCCCAAAGACGGGCTGAATGGACAGCTGCGTGACTTTGGACCCTGCATCTTCATCTCAGCCTGGTCCAACAGCCTGTGTTTGCGGAGGTTCGGGATCCCAAAATTGACACTGAAGGTCGCTATCCCAAGGGAGACACTGAAGGAAAGTTTGCGAAAGGTTTCTCTTGGGCTCACTGACTTGAGATCCTATTTCGGTGGTTCAGCAACCATCACATATACGGTGAGGTCGCTTTGAGGATTCGAGCACCGACAGGGTATACTACGTCAAAAAAATGGATATCCCCACGATGTGTTTCTACATTCTACTGCAATTATACAATTATAGCCGTACATATGCATACATTTATGAAGTGTTAGTTATTATATATATAGCCTGTTCAGCGTCAAATGGATTCAAGATATTCAAGTGGTAGTTTCGGAGAATGTAAGTGAATATAAATATACAATGTATAGATACACCTCATTCTTGGATAACCCCTGCGAGCGAGCACCTGATGGACCAAGATGAAACACCAAGTAACGTGTGCAACTCGTGCATGAGCTCGTCATGACGCATGGCGATTTCATCTCTTTCGCGTCGCAATGCCGAGTCCAACCTCAGCACAGAATGGAACTGGTTCAGATGCCTTGGCACTGGGGGGAGTCCACCACAGTTCAAACAAATTGGGTACAAATACAAACAAAAACCATGTCGTGATGTAGCAATATAATATAATATAATATGATATAATATGATATGATATGTACATATATGTACTATATAATTAATTCTTCTGCCTTGATGATCATTCATGTCATTATTGGTATGACAAAATCCATTGCTATAGAGCCATTTAATGTCTGTTGTCTTTGGACCCATCCGCCCAAAGGCGCCAACCTTCTGGGGATGGGTCAGAATTCCCCCCCCAAAAAAAAACTTTACATTTGACACAAAAAAGTCTCACTCGAAAATTTGGTGTTTTAGGTCCTAAACTTTGAGTTCCCTATGTAAAAATGTGGTGGTATCATGCTCGCGTGTGGCAACGCAGAATCTACGTCTTGGCGATTCTTGGAGCATGGATAAAGAACCACAGTCCTCACATGTCCTCACTCGCATGGTATATGTATGTAAATGTCAATATCATTCAATATCTGCACATGTGTATTGCAGTCATGAAATCTCCACGCTCGGTATCATTGCAACTTGTCAAAACTCGGGAAACGACCTAGAAATTGAATTCTTCGTACCCATGATATTTCGTACCTAATGTATCCTATCGGCTTCAGGACGACTCAGTTTCTATAGCCTAGCTGGTGAAGTTGGCACAAAGGGCCAGCTAAATTCCGTCAAACCGCCATCGACAAAGGTCGGGCATCCGCAAAGGCGGCCCCGTGGAACGGCCGGCGGCACGTCGTTCGTCGTTCGCCGGACACCATGAAGCTTGAGCCCAGCGAGTCGATGGTGGTACCGGTTGACATGGGCAAAGTGACATGAGCAATACATGGGGATGGGTCAAAACCCTGGTACCTAGTGAACCCCAAAATAGCTGGTAAATGGATGTTCATCCCACTAAAAATGGTATTAATAGGTATTGACCCATACCCACATAAGCAACAAAAGGCAATGGACCCTGCAATTGCCTTGTCAGCAATTGGTGTCTGTCCAATGCAAAGTCACAATCTGGTTGGTGGTTCCAACCTGTCCCAACAATATTAATTCTTGCCACCCTCCTGTTCACGAGCTGGTGAATGGACGTACATGTTCATCCCCCAAAACACATGGTATACACAGCAAAAACATGTGGTATAAATATGGCCATCATGGTATCTACATGGGATCAGAATGAATTATAAATCATTATGATGGTATATTACCATGTATTCCATATTATATATATATATAGATAGATAGATATATATATATATAGATAGATATAGATATAGATATAGATATAGATATAGATATAGATATAGATATATATATAATTATATACATATACCATTATAATATCTATGGTATAGCATGGTATAGCCATCTGCCCCATTCCACGGAGGGGGGGAGCGTACCCGAGCTGCGTCCACCTTGCTGAAGGCATCCTCCAAGAAGTCGAAGCCGGGCCCTGCCAGGTCCTGGACGTGGATCCATTATCCATAGAACATAAAATGTCATAAAATGAATATCATCTCACCATCAACACATGTATGTGTATATATATACATATTGTAGTATTTATATAATGATGTATTTAAGATATACGATACAAAGAAAAGGTTTATAGACTTTCGCATGCATGTTGTAGGTTTTAAAATAATGAACCTCTCCATTTTGATCCATTTTGGCACCTGTAGAGTGGTCATCTCCTGTGCCCATCAACATATTCCATGTAGAGTCGCTGTATGATCACTATAATTATCAATTTATCATCACCATTGTAATGGTCCACTAGTGATCATTCTTGTGGTCATCATTCCTTTTTTTTGATAGATTCGATAGGTCATCACTATAGTATACTATAGTATACTATAGTACAGCAATCAGGTCGTTATCATCCCATATCATCCCATTCAACCCCAAGATTCTCCACATTCTCCCCATTGGTGACCTCGACCATGGCTTCCAAACGCTTGGCCACCTTCAGCCAGGAAATTTTTGAGGCCACTGTGCTCCATGAAATCGGAGGGGTCGGATTTTGTTGGGCAGATTTTTAGTTGGATCCTAGCAACAAAACTTCGGAAAAAAAAAAACACGGAATCAGGTTATCTAATAATTATATAATATAGTTATAGTTATTTATAGTTGTATAATGCGGTTTATACGCAAACGAGAGTTAATTACCAAGTCAAACAAGAGGTGGAAAACCAGGAAATTGGAATCAGCAAGCATGATGGAGCACAGGATCAATTTTGCTACATCATTCCTGGTGCTGCCACTTTCCACGCCGAGAAGGTGCAAACGCTGATTTCGTAGAATTTGCTAAGGAAACCTTAACCAATGGGTTCCAGCCTTGGTTCTGCTGCCCTTCCCTTGGGGTAAAGGACCGTAAGTAATCCAAATCTGAACAAAACGAGTTTTTCAGCCCATGTATTATGTATAGTAACTATACTTGTTCAATATCTTTCAATTGAATGTTTTAATTTAATGATTTTTATGTCCCAAGCTCAGTTGAAAATTCGTCCTGGTTTCCCCCTCGCCATCCCAAGTCAAGTCGCGTCATCTTCCAGGGCACTGTCGCACCTGGCGAGGTGACACGACTGCGGATGGGCACCCCAGACCCCCTGGAACTGATTTATGGATTTAGAAAGAAAAACACTGGGATCAAGACGGTTTAATCGGGAAAAGAATGTGACTTGGGATCTATACTTTACTAGGTACCAAGACATTGGACCTCAAGGGGATTTAGATAGGGAAAACATGGGAAAACCACTGGGGATTGCACACAAAGGTGGTTTTCCCGTTATAAAAAGGCAGGTTTTCAGGGAGACGAAAGATTTGTTTTCAGATCATGTGCAGAACACTTCAGCATCTTACAAGCTCCGTTGCAAAACAATGTCTGGAGGTCCATAACAACAACAACAACAACGACAATGGCGACGACGACCACCACCACCACAACAACAACAGCCGCTACCTGTAGCCGCCAATACAAAATGAATTCTTCAGCAAGGCCATTTCACATTGGGTGTCCTGAAACCATCAGTCAACACAAATCATCCCTCCAAAGAGCATAGACCCTGCCAAATAGGGGGTTGGAAGACTGCTTTCCTTCAAGACTGGCTGATTCTCAGGTTCAACCGTTTTGTTGCAGGGATAGTGAATTCGTAACTGAAAGATTTCCCAGATTTTTGAAACCCCATCTCAGCTTCTCCAGCTGGGCTAAACATGCCACGCTCACTGGGCTTCTCGTCGCACCTGACATCACGGCTGAGTCACTTCACCCTGGAATCCCCTGGTTTGAAGCCAAGAAAAATTGTTTGTTATACAGCATGTATGAGTATATATATATATGTGTGTATATATATATATGATATGTATATATATATATGTATATATATATATGTGTATATATATATATGTATATATGTATACATATATATATATATGTATATGTATATATATATATATGAGTTTACATATAATATATATTAGTTTATACATATATATATATATGAGTTTATATATATATATATATATGAGTGGCGGACAAAATGACTTACTACTCGTAATGGACATGGCCAAAGTGGGTGGTCCCCTATCGGTTGTGAAGGTTTGTACTTCCATGGTATGTATAAAACTAGGGTATCGGTATATAAGTGGGTGGTCCCCTATCGGTTGTGAAAGTTTCTACACAAATTTTAACATCCCATGTCCACTCCGTACTACTTTATATAGTCTTCTGCTAATTTTGTCAGTTACTCATATATATATATATGTATATATATATATATTAATGCGTATGTGTATGTGTATGTGTATGTGTATGCGTATGCGTATGTGTCTGTGTATGTGTATGTGTATATATATATATATTATATTATTGTTGTATAATCTAGAAAAAAAACACCAAAATTTTATGTTGGTATAGAATGCATGA